TTTTCTCTTTCTCTATAAAAGCTAATTATCATGTAAATAATTTTGTATTGTGATTATGTACATCTTACCGACGAAACGATAATACGTAATTCCAAAACTGTATATCTTAGTGAAATTTGAGGAATGATTAAAACCTGCTATATGAGGCAATTGATAAAAATATTGGAAGAAGGTTATTAATAATTTTTATTTTTATAACAAAATTGACCCTCCATGTAATACTACTGAGCTCAGTCTCGAATCTATATTTCTTTTATTTTTCTCTTTCTCCATAAAAATTAGTTATCGCGTAAAGAATTTTGTATTATGATTATATATGTAATTCCAAAACGGTATAACTTGTTAGATTTTAGGGGATGATTAATGATGCAATTGATAAAACTATTGGAAAAAGGTTATTAATAATTTTTATTTTTATACCAAAATTGGCCATCCATGTAATTTTCTTTCTCTCTTTTCCCTATAAAAATTAATCATAGCATAAAGAATTTTGTGATCGCATAATTAACCCTTAGACTTCGTCATATAACCGCAATGCTCCGTGCCAAAGAGACAGAATACGATGAGAATACACGAATTATAGTATACTTATGGCCGGCAAATTATTTTCTCTTTGATTACCCTGCCCATTTTCAAAACAATCGCCAAACATTTCCTCTGTCTGCTAATTTCGGGGATCCATTTGTCGATCAAAGTGTCGAGTTATTTTATACACGGACAGGAATTACCGTTATGACTGGGCATCGCTGCAAGGCAAAAATTTATAATAACCTTTGCTCGAACATCAAGGCAGTGAAACGTAGTATAATCGGACTTCTCTGAAACCTCCTATACCTTTCAGTTATACTAGAAATATAAATGTCGAGAAAATTATCCACAAACGATGATTATATCCACGATAAAGGAAAGAAATTTGTGTTCGCGAAATCTCAACCCTGTAATATTAATAATTTATCTATTATATAAATATGACATTTCACGTGTATGTTATATATCGCAAAATTTTACTAGCAAACTGAATTTTCCCTGCAAACACAAATTCATCGGTGATGAATCCTCTTTAACGAATTTCTAGTAAATTTGAAACTCGCTATTGCGATGATTAAAATAATCTGAAAGCTTTCTGTTTAACCGTACGAAACTCCTAACACGATTTATTCGATTCGCCATTTGTCCACGAACGTCCACGATTATTATCAAAAATTTAAATATTCGAGAACTACGAAATAAAATATGAGGATTGCTTTGGATAATGCTACCTTTCTTCGCTGGCCGAATAAATTAACACCACCTTCGTGAATTTTTCCACCAATAGTGTCGCACACAATTTTTCTAACTTCCACCCTTAAGTTTTTAAGGGAAGTTTTCAAGGGTTTGAATTTTTACAATTTCCTAAATGTAAAGCTGTCTTTGTTTTTCTAGATATTAAGTTTGGAGTTGCGAAAATACAGGCTTTGTTCTTTATATAGACCCCACAAATATTACCGTACGATTTCAGCTCACAAAGTTATTGCTGTTCAAATATTAACATGGTATAAATTCAGTTTTCCTCTTCGCTGTATATTTACTGGAATTTGTGCTTGCACATTTTCATCGCGGTGTCAGACGTATCGTGAGTGCCATTCTATAATAAAATCGCGCACTTTTATTCTTTTATTTATTACCAGTTTGTGCATCAATAGCGCATTCACGACTGACGGGTTCAATAACAATTCGAAAATAGGGGGCCACAGTTGTTCGTTCTCTGCATTCGCTTCCAAAAACACCGAGCGCCCCGAATCAATTGCTGCCTCTTTTATTTCTTTGCTGCCAGCGTCCCGTGACTCGTGGACACTCAGACACAACTAGGACACAACTAGACTCTAATACATAACTGTAGGATTTTTGATTAAATTAATCCTATGCAGACAGAGCTGTATAACTCTATGATAACTCTATAATACAGCTATAATAACTGTCTTTTTGTGACAAAACAGGTTTTGTTTAAGTAAAATATTACATTAAATTTCTAACACGATCCTCTATTCACTAAGTACGTCTCTACATACATTCAGCCTTCTGACTCAACTCAAATCTACCTACTCTGCGTTGCATGGGAGAAGTCATCTGAGAAACTTGTAGGACCGAATCCCCAACAGCCCAACCATTCGAACATCATGGCAGAAGTAGAGTAAAACGCTTCCCTTATTGGTAGAACTGATTCCTTCCTGTTAGCCCGGTCACAGAACACCATGTGACAAAGAAAGCGAACAAAGCAACGAGACAAAGTGAGACAGACGCAAAAAATAGATGCAAGAGCGTAGACTCATCCCAAAGCGTAGTAGTGCTTCCAATTCATTGTAAGTTAACTCTGAGATAACATTTCTTTCGCGGATATCTTACGCCTATGTTAACGTATCACGTTACAGAACTTGGAGATAGTAGTTTTGGGAGTGTCATAGAAGAGTGGGTATTACTAACAAGAGTACAGGCGGAGCAAGTGGAATACCCCTCTCGCCCCGCAACCGAACGAGATGACTTCTTTCCTGCAACGCACAGTACCTCTGACTTCTTCTCAATTCTGACCGCCTCGCGCTCTTGCATCCTTACCTAACCCTTTGCGAGACTCGAAGGACTTGCACTCTCCTTGTAAGCATCCCCATATGTCCATTGTCCTCAAATCTCGACGATGTCTTCCTAGAAATCCAACAAAGAGCTTTCTCTCACTGCAAGACGAGTGGTATCAGTGAAAATTGCCCACAGACATAACAAGCATCGTTTGATTAATTCTTCCTAACTCTTATAAGACTAACTATTAACCCTTTGCACTCGAGAGGTGAGCTTCAGTCACCGTTTCATAAAATTTGGAAGATCGATATTAATTAATATATCAAATTTAATGTAACGAAACAGTGTACGAGGTTCCGAAATCAAATAATTTTACAATTCTATTGTTATATAACTCTATTTACTGCTCGAAAAAGTATCGTCAATTTTTAGTAGAGAATCTTTGCATTTCTACTCTTCTCTTAGAGCCAAAAAATCGTCGAGTGCAAAGGGTTAATTCTTCCTAACTGTTCCTAATTCTTACTAATTAACCCTTTGACTGCCACGCAGAAATCAAATGTTTGCCTCAGGACGTCGCAGGAGTGCACTGCTAGATGCAAGATTTGTTCTAATATATTTTTGATGTTCTGATAAAAATTTGTAATTGTTTAATGGGGCACTTTTGATTTCAAAGTATCTTCTAATTATCGGTTATATTCAAAATGAACTAACTGTGCATTTTCATTTAATGTAGTTCAATGTAGTTCAAGTAGTTCAAGCGCTTCGATCATCAATGACCAACGTGACAGTCAAAGTGTTAATAGAAAAGTCGGTCGAAACAACATGGTCGCACAGTTGTTGGATGAATAACGATTCGTTGGCCCTTAATCACTAGAAGGGCCTGGCTGATAAACGCAGACCAATTTCAGGGTCCAAAAACAATTGATTCATTCCTACTTTCACTAACAAGGAGACTGCAAGTCCTTCGGGTCACCGATTTAATTGAAATTTTGTAGGTTCGTAGATTTCGTCATGCTGTTCAAGAATATATATCATTATAGCCACCATTACTCGATAGTCTGTGAAATATTTGCGATTAAAGTTTTATTACTTCGATAACTACTGATTTATTTCTTGCAGTTTTCGAGTGGCGTTGTGGGTACCTAACTATAACGTGCACAGATTTCACTCATATTCAGCGGTTCGATGAATATGAGTGAATATATTGATTACTGTTCTTTCTTAATACGAGTTGGTACCAATTTTATTCTTAAAGCAGGTGTATGTGCTCAGTGATTGCAAAAAGAAAAATTCTGAGACCAATCATTTTCGCTGGGTTGATAGTTCTAGTGTTAATAACGACACCCGAAAATTCCTATGATGCAGGTCCGGAGTTTTGATTCCCGTCTCTAGTTGGTTCTTCTTCTTCAATCTATTTTTTATTCTATATTCATTTTTCGCCTATGAAAATATTGCAAAATTAACAATTGTAAACCAAATTTCTTAATCAAAAAAATTTAGCTTTTACGATTTCTTATGCTAGTATATATTTGTTATAGAATAATAAGAATGCAATGCAAGGAAAAGAGTTTTCTATAGCAATCTTATTAACCCTTTGACTGCCACGCCGAAGTCACATGTTTCCCTCGGGAAGCGGGAGTGCACCGCTAAATGCAAGATTTATTCTAATATATTTTTGATGTTCTAATAAAAATTTTTAATCGTTCAATGGGGCACTTTTTATTTCAAAGTATCTTATAATTAGCGGTTATATTCAAAATGTACTAATTGTCAATTTTCGTTCAATGTTGTTCAATGTAGTTGAAGTAGTTCAAGCACTCCAGTCACCAATGACCACCGTGGCAGTCAAGGTGTTAATATCTTGTAAATATCTCAAAAACTATTGCGTAGTGGCGGCTATAATGATATATATTCTTGAACTGCATGACGAAATCTACAAACCTACAAAGTTTCAATTAAATCGGTGACTCGAAGGACTTGCACTCTCCTTGTAAGTACCAACGGTCATCTTCACCCCACCAAAAACTGACATCATATAAGCACCCACAAAATTTGCGAAAGGTCAGTTTCAGTTTCCGCCGACTTGTATTTTTCCAACGTAGCCTTGTCGCTAGAACCCGCATTCTATATCGAAATCCGGGTTCCAACACATTGACGACCCGCGAACACCTTTGAGAGAACATGATCTCCTATACAATAACCATCTTATTATTCTTCTAATTAATCTTCTTACTATTTCTTATTATTTCCTCGTCACACGCTTTGAATAACGAAAATACACCCGTGGCCCGGTGCGCGCAATATGCAAATGTGTCGTGGCAGCGAATGCGTTAACCCGTGTTCTCGGTGCCGAGCCCTGTGGCTCGGATGTAAATGCATTTACTCGTGAATCGAAAACGCGACGAAAAGACGAACCTTTGAGTGCTAGCAGCCTGTGTGTTCTCTGTTTCCAGTTCTCGGCTCGTCCAGGTCGGAGGCAAGACTGCCGTCGGCGCGGCTGGTCCTGGGACTGTTCGCGTCCCTTTTGATCGCCATTCGTTAACCGTACCGCATTCAACTACGCGCGCTTTGGAGCTGTTTATATAAATCGACGTGCTTGTAAGAAAGTCCAGGCCGCTTTGTGTGACGCGATGATCAACCTCCGACGGCGACGGCTGACGCACGTGTCGCGCCATTTTCTGGACCACTTCGCGAGAGGAAGGAAGAGCAAGAGCGGCGGCTGACGCATCGAACGCGAGGCAGTCGGAGGGAACCAAAATGGAGCTTCTTGGTCTTGGTGGAACGGAGGGACAGGGGGAGAGCGGAGATTCGCGGGGTGAATCGCGGGAACCGGGAACGGCCATTGCAATCTCGTTCCGTTTGCCCTTGACGAGGACGATGATGAAGGAACGGACGGGTGAAAAGGTATTCGTGGCCCGCGAAGTGTGCAAGAGCGGGGGGAAGAACCGAGACGAAATACACGACGAGAATATCCGAGGAATATTTTATTATTAGACTATGTACTTGCTTCCTTTCGGCGGTGATCATGTGTTTGCAATGTGTAGGTATAATACCGTGTAGCACGTTTACGGCGCATCGTTTCGAAGGAGAAAATGATAGTTTTCTTTTTCATACTTTTATAAAAACTCGCGAAGAGACGAAACGTAGCGTGGATATATATATATACATGTGTATTCAAACGTATATATATATATATGTGTGTGTGTATAATCTGTCTCTAGCGCTCTCACTGTCTTTCACTCTCTGTCTTTTCATCCGTGTGTCGATTCTAGTTAAGAGAACGGTTCGATTACATCACGCGATTCGCCTAAACGAGGAGGAAGAGGAGTGTGGGTAAAATAAGACGTGGAAGTACACGACGAACAGTGAGCGAGGAGATGTACCTGATGAATCGGATATTCGACGAGTCACTTTGCGTTGCCGCTGTCATTCTTGTCTAATATTCTTGTAAGCGAGAACGGTGGCCGGAGCGGACTAGATGGCGCTGCCTCCGACGTCCATTCCCGCGCAAACGTCGTCGAGAAGCTCTCGAGCGGGAGATATAGGCGAAATATAGGGGAGGAGAGGAGAAAATTAATATAAAAATGGCGGGAAAGTAGAGACGAGTGAAGGGGGAGGATATATCGGCGAGGAAAAATGGTTCGTTACCATTTTCGTTCCACTTCTGTTCCTTTGACGCGCAGCTCGCGTAATTTCGTCTCCGAGCTTATTACACCGTTCGATTTATTAAATTCGTGCCGTTTGTCGTTCGATTTAATGCGTTTTAGCACGATACATTTGTCAACCGCGTTTCACGCGCGTCCGTACGTAACGAATGATAAAAGCGATTCACGCAGTCACGTTCTGTTTACAATGAATATCGAGCTTACTGTTCTCCACCGGGCTGCTTCCGGGCGGAGCGTTGTTTCCTGTTGCTCGCGCCTCGTTCGGTACACGCACAAATTCTACGTCTTGCGACTCGTCGCTCCAGGTGTAGGTTTATTTGCGCAATTTTCGTTTCATCATCGCAACAAACGAGGCGTAACGATCGAAATGAACGAAGGGATGGGGGGGAAAAATTATAAGAGGGAGAAGATTTAAACGAACACAGATGCGAGAAAGTGGTATTGTATATGTATATGTATATTATGTATTAACGAGCGATGTGTGCTAGTATTAGTTACGAATTATCGATTAAGGATCGCAACGACTGAATAATACTCTACATGATTTTCTAATTGTAATAAGTATTTTTGAAACCGTCATCGTTTCTACGTAGCTAACACAGGCGAGCGTTCGTTAGCGAGCGCGTTTCATCCGAGAATTAGCCAAAAGAGTAAAAAGAAAAAGAGAAAAAAGAAAAAAAAAGAAAATAAGAGAGAAGAAAGGAAGAGAGAAAACGCACGAGAGCGTTGTAATTGATATTTTCGAACGAGTCGATATAACGCGTTTAAGAGAGGAGAGAGGAGAGTAAAATAAATGTAAAGTGTCAGAGATATCTCGCGTGTCCGCAGCATAGTTTCACGGTTCTTTGTGTAATAGAAATGATGCTAGTCGAATTTTTGCCAATTGTTTGGTATCGATGCTCATTATGTTCCTCAGCTTGTCACGATACGAAAGAATATTTATGATAATAATAACGATATGACCACAACATCGTCTCATTTCATACCACCACCAGAAAACACGCCATCCGCTTTAGCGTCCACAATTTGCTACCACATCTGGCCATTTAGCCGGACAGACCATTGGATGCAAACGAACAATTATGACAAGGACACCTGTACTAAATATGAGACAAATTAATATTGAACACGATTTAAAGAAGAAAAATAGTACGAACCTAAAGTGGGCAGCTTGTGGACACTTATACGGGCAATACTGTGCTTCGTTTCATTCTCGATTAATTTTCATCACTGCAGAACATTACACAACGATAACGTAAAATTATATTAAATTGACCAAAAAGTAATTCCCTTATTTTTAATATAAAATGGAAATCATTAGATATGGAACAAAAATAGTCTCATTAAATAATTCGCGGCAAAATTTCACGTTACTTATTGGTTAATCTAATATTCGATCATTCGAGAACACCTGAATAGAGATAATCTCGCGGTTCTAAAACCACCATGTACCATTTGCCTCGGCAGAAGGAAAAATTCCTTTAAAAATCGCGGCAAAGGGACACTTACATACTGACAGAGCAAAAAACTAGCTCATTCGGTCTCTCAATACCACTTAACCTTCTTTTCTAAATCCCCGCTTTATCCGGAACGATATAACATTATTCTCAATGACCGTTCATGAAAATTTCGCGAAATTCATAAAACGGACCAAATATTCTGCGCACAAATTAACTGCAGCTTTGCAGATCGGTACAACGCGGGTAAAGGGTAATTTCCAGGGGCAATTTTTTCCCCCAGACGACACCCGGTCCTGGCCATTAACCCTTTGCGAACGTATTCGGCAAATGGCCGCCTGAAATCTTCCCGCGTTGCGGTTAACGCGAAGATCAAATCTTCATTGTACAAAACAAATCTTTTAATTGCAAATTTTCATCGTACGATCTTCATCGTGTACTCTAAAATTTCCCAGTTCGGATTAATCGTTTCTTCTTTGGGTCTCTCGTTCGGACTAACGTTTACTCGGAAAATAATTCGTTGGCAGAGGATCATGATCCACCATTAACACTTTGACTGCCATGCACTTTTATGTGGTACGCTCAGCGAGCCAGGATAAAATCTCCATTATTAAATTATTAAAGCAATGTGGCGAAGAAAAAGAAAATTGTGAAAATTATTGATGTTTTCTATTCAGAATTCTCTATTTATTTACGCTGTCAAATTTTCAAAAAATGGTTAGAACAATTATAAATTTGAAAAATTAGTATTGACGGACACCGGTGACGATCGTGGCGCCACTGAGGAGACTCGCGCCGGTCACATGACCACCGTGGCAGTCAACGTGTTAACCCTTTCGCTATGGCGGGCGTCGTCGCGAAGTTTCTCCTGCAGAACGCAGTGACGTGTCAAAAATGGTGACATTACGATCATTCAGTCTTTAGCATTCGCTCTTTTGACGCAAATCTTTTGAAGGAAAAGAGAAAAGAAAAAACTGACCATCGCATTAGAGCTTGCAATTCTTTGGAAACAGAGCTAAGAGAAACGGGAGTATTTGTCTTAACCTTTTACTCAATTTTTGTGACCGGTGACTATAGTCACTCGTCGATGTAGATGGCGTCTCGTAGCGAAAGGGTTAACCATTTGCGCTGGAAAGACGTGTCACACACGTTGTGATGCTTCTGTCACAGAATCGCCAACGACGTGGTATACACGTGGTTAGGCAATTGTTACAGAAACACTGGACTCTTCTGGCACACGCGTCTATGAATTTCTTGCCACTGCAAGTATTTAAAGGATCGACGTGTCTTCCATGCGAGTTGGCGTTACAGCGTTCGTAGGCGCCGATTAATAAATGTATTTCTGCCAAAACGTTCGAATCGTGGTACTGGCATTATTACTCCATTTGTTTCCGCATCAACGGCAATAATGCTGATGAAATAATTCAATTACCCGTTTCGCATGCGATACGATCATCATGGCGGTGTGCGTGCGCACGGCCTCTCCGCTTCTAACTTCGCCCCTATTAATCCTCGAAGATGCGCTATTCACAACCGACTAATCCGTTTATTCTTTTAAATCCGAAATCCGATATCCCGTTCGAAAGGGCACACTCTCGCGCGTCACGCTTTTACTTACACGAGGGGCTTAAACGCTCGTTGGGTGCTTCCTTTTTGGATTGTCCAACGTGCCTAAAGCCGGCGTTGAACAAAATTTGTTTAGCCTAGAAGAGGATTAGCGATTCCATTTTTTTTTTATTATTTTTTTTAATTCTTCTTTACGTTAGAGCAAACGAGAGACGGAGGAAGGAGGATGGAATTGTTGCTGGTTATATACGGATGCGTGTACACGAATTGGGGATGTTTTGTGAGAAAATGCGAGAATATTTTCGAATCGCCGATAGCCGTGGATTTCAACGTTTTCAGATTAATTCGATTTCGAGCATCGGGGTCAAGAGCCTTATGAATTAATGCGAGATGCGTTGTCCTTTTTCGACGTCTCATTGGGTAATCAGAAGGGTTTCAGGTGGAACCTCGAGTATCCTTTTGTATAGTACGAGCGTGGATAATGAAATGTTAAAGGGTTTTTGTATTTGTTTCCATTCGAACTTGTTTCGATATTTGCAGTCCCGGAGAGTTTATTCGTTTGGTTGGTACAATATTGTCAATGGTGGAATAGTTAACACGACAAGAATTAATTTTATTTTTTCCAGGAGAATATGTGATGATATAGTATTATACTTCTCGTATTAACCCCTTGCACTTGAGAGGTGATCTTCAATCATCATTAAATAAAATTTCGGAAATCGATATTAATTAATATACCAAATTTAAGATAACGTAACGGTATGCAAATAATTCTACGTTTTAATTATTACTCGATTTCTTATTTACTGCTGAACAAAATATTTGAAATTTGTAAATTTTTAAACCCCTACTCTTCTTTAGTCAAAAAATCGTCCAGTGCAAAGGGTTAATGCAAATTTTGTTTAAATGATATTATTATAATAATATAATAATTCCACGTATATCAATTTTTCCACATATTCATTCTTCGTGTTTTATTGGCCTCGTGCATCATGAATTATAATTCTTGAAAAACAGGGGGAAAATAAAGAAATATTTCTTCCTACCTACATCTACAACACTCATCCAAGTATCATACGATCTTCATCTTTCAAATCGCACGATTTTTGAGCGAATCGTCTAAAATTGTAATTTATAAAATTGTAATTACCAATTTACCGTTTGGAAAGAATTATTTCTAATTCGTGTGGACAAGAAGTTAAGTCTAAGTTAATCCTGATTAGTATTATTGGGGATAATCGTCGATACTGTACGTTTATGTTGGCAATAAACGATCGTGCAACATTGTGGAATGCGTTTGAGAACAGGCAATGAATGGATGAATAAACAGCATTCAAAGTTTCTTGTTCAGTAGCCATAACACGACCAGAACAATTCGATAATTGCTATCGGATTGTAATATGTGCGATGTGTGTCTTTTAAGTTAAAAATAAAAATAGATTCTAGATGTACGTTCGACGACTCTCTCGATTTTCTTCTTTCGATTTTATCCAGGATTTATTTTCTTTCATCTTCTTAATCTTTTATCCCGCAGGAAAAAAATTCCCACAGACATATCCACGCTTTAAAGAGAAAAATCGCACGACCTTTTCTTGACTAAAATCAATATTAAATAAAGAACGATCTGCTTTCTCCATATACCATTGAAATATGCAAGGAACCTGCGAGTACTTTATAGATTGCAATTTAATAGAAGATCGATACAGGACCACCGGCTGTTCGAACCAATAAAAGATCCAGACATTTACATTTCACTAAATACTGCAGGGAGAAATTAATTACAAGCCCGATGGAAATTTTATCAATGCGATTCCTCACATAACGATTCAGTTGCATAACTGTACGTCCAATACCCTACAAAGGAAAAAAGAAGAGGAATAAAACAGGTAAGAAATATGCATAAATTAATAATAAAGTATATTACACAATCTCCAATATCACGAAGTTACACGGTAATTTATATACTACAGGTAGCCCTCCTACAACACGGTATTCGATAACACGGTTTCGCTCTAACACGATAAGAAAATTGCAAAAATCTTTATGCAACACTGTACTTCTACATGAGCAATGACGACAAAGAATTAAATTAAAGTTGCGTTAAATTAAAATAATATTTTTGCCTTTCTTTTGTTTTGTATCGTACATACGTTTATATTTTAAATAAAAATTAAGTTGTTTATGTAGAATGAAAAAAAAAAATTTGTTTTTAATAAGTTTTCGAAACGTAAGCTTTTTGTTCTGGCTCTGGGTCTCATACAACACGGTTTCACACAACACGGAATTTTCTAGGAACCTATCTACCGTGTTATAGGAGGGTTACCTGTACGTATATAATTCCATAGTAAATAAAAACATTTACTGGGTAGTTAAAAGAATTGCCCAATTAATAATCGATTTACTCATTCGTCTCGTTCGAGTCCTCTGTTTCCGCTCCGCCATTCGCCATGATTGAAGAGAGGTCGATCCTAATCGCTGCGCTGTACCGCGTAACTAATCAAATGTTTTTAGTTGTTCTGCTCGACGTTGCGATTTTACAATCAAATTAAGCGTTAATGGAACATATCATCAAGCGTGCACGAGTCGGGATTGGCGAGCAGATAATACAGGTCCATGCGCTCGTTGCCTAAAGGGCAATCGATGCTATTCCTCTGTATACGTGCCGGTATATACGCGAGGCGCGTGTGCGCCCGTACCAATGAGAAGAGCGCATCGGTGTGCAGAGAAACACTCACGTACACGCGCACACACGTGAGGGTCGCGAGCCTCGGTTGCCTGGAGACGGGAAACACGGAGAAGCACGGCGGACAGAAATTGGGCTACAGTCATGGCTCCATTTGAACGGCACGCGTATTACGTTCAGATACTTTCCATCGTCCATCGACGATCAGCGACGCGAAATTTATCGAGATTCCGTACGCTGCTTCACCCCGGCATCCTTTTTCTCGCCTCTCGTTAAATATTATGCAACCGTACGAATGACAATACGTCCCCTCGATCGAGTCGTGCAGTGCGTCATAACCTCTGCGTGTTCGTGAACTTCCGTGACGAATCGGGATAAATCGCCGAATATCGCGTTCGATCCGTAGAGAGCGATTGGCACCGGGCCGGTGAGTTAAATTTTCTGCGCCACATCTGGACGATTGGACATCATTTAATTTGCGTCTTTTTCAACGGTTCGTGGAGCTGGTGCCCGTGGACCGTTCGCGAGATCAGTGGCGAACGATTTTTCTCGGAGAAACGATCGCGGTGACTGTTATATGTATATCTACATGTCACACGGACAGTTCGGGTGAGCTGTGTTTCATATGCAACAGCTGTGTAGCCACTGATGAAACGCGCGTCGTTTTTTCGTTCTTTGTTCACGCTACTTTTATTTTTCCCCTTTTTCTCTCTACTCTCCGTTTACGGATATATCGTTATCTGCGTGTTTACCCAGGCTTGCGCAATTGCAGCTCGTTACGATACACCGAGTCCACGTTGTTGTCAATTCCTACGTAATGCAGGCCAGTTCCTTTCGTAATTATCATTGTAGCATTTATTATTGATATTATCATAACGCGAAGCTGCATATTGCAACCGTGTATAGCGTACTTCGAGGATGCAAAATTGTTTTCGATAATTATTTAACTAACCTCTAAAGCGGCGTCAGAATTTTACGCGCGTGAACTGACTATATCGTGGGTATAGTATCCGGGAATTACGGAAGTCATTTTTATCCTTGCGAAGTTATTATTCGTGCCGAAAACATTTTTCACGCGTTCTCCTTATTTATTTAACGTTTTAATTTTGCTTGCGCATTATGATATTTAAATTATAACCTCTTTAAATAGTAACACTGTACCGTAGATGAAATTATCATGCGTTTGTATTCATTCACCAATTGTATTATTGTTACTTAGTTAGATAATGATTGTAATAGAAAATAATTATATTCTACACTTGATGCAGGCCTCACATTTCACATTTCCCAGAGAATGCGAATGCTAGTGCATGACGGTGATTAGATGCACCGAAAAAGTACCTCGATCCCAAGTAGATGCGCATAAACGACCACAAAACAATTTGGCCGGGGTCCAGTCAAATCGGTGACATATCGTGCATTATTGGTATCGTACGGACTTGAAAACTTGCCTACAAGATTTTTGGATTTCTGCCTGACAACCATGGAGATGTTATCGATGGAGAGTAAGTTCCGGCTATAAATCTCGCTTTATTTTCATCTTTGTGTCAACTTTTAGAAACCATGTGTAACTGAACGGATAGTATACACGCTTTGCACTGTTGCTTTATATGTGTAAGTATAATTAGCTGTCTAAAAATAAAACTAAAAAAAAAAAAAGAAAAAATTCAAAAGTGTTACAATTTTTTCAAAATAAAGGTTCACGTTGCAAAATTTGTCCACCTCTTATTTGCAATGTTGCATTTTCGAACTGGGTTATACTTGAGATAATGGTGTCTTTAAATATAGGAATCTTGTTACTCTATTATACGCAAACTTGGAAGACATCGCTTGCGCGGCTGGTAACGCTAACTCTTGCAAACTATCCATGCAGAAATACGTAATGAGACTACATGTCAATGGATGGCACCACCGATGTATAAACTTGAGTAGCAGCCTCGCACAGTCCCGAGGCATGTGCCGCTCTCGCGAGCGTTGCACACAGCCTCTGCTTACTTTGCTTAAAAACGTTATCTGCTCGTGCATAATGTGTTCATTCCGTGGGGAAATATTTCCAAGTATCGGCCAATTTGTCAGGAGCATTCCAAGGATAACCCCGCCGCTTGTTATCGCGAAATATTGACCGCACTTCATTATTGATTCACCTCGTCAAACGCACAGGCTGACAAAACATTCGTGTTCTATTTTAATGGTTATGTATCAGACAGTGCATGCACCGTTCCCGTATAGTCGATAACTTTTCTGATGTATTGATAATCTTCGTCGAAACAGGTAATTCGCATAGTCGCGCGAAAACGAGATATACCGAGTATGTATATCGCGAATGTAGATACTAGGGAGCAGATAGAAAGGTGAATCAATAAATGCGTCTGGCTGCTTCGTGTTCAATTTTTCAAATGTCAGCCATTCCGAAGAATTCGCATTGTTATTCGACGAAACGAATCCTGTTTGCGCATCGAAGATGATGGATTCCCAATTTGGAATTTTAATTCGACAACGGTGCTTGCGTTCGCGGATATTTATAACACGCATTAATCCAGCGAATAGGATATCTTTTCTTGGTATATACGTTTCTATGACGTATGAAATACGTATATATTTGCATCGCATTATGCGTCCTATATCGCCGACGCAGCATCATGGACTGTCGATGTAACGACAAACTATCAGTGTTTCCCGCTTCGTTCGCCCGAGGTCGCTGATTCACCGTCACGACTCCTGGCATCGAAATACATATTTTCCACTGATGCCACGTCGAAATGACACGTTCTATGTTGAAAATGATAAATACACTCGGTTTAAAGTATATCTTGTATTTCTACGGTAAAAGCACGTCGAGCATGGGACTAAAACACGCTGCTTAAAAACTTTGACGAAAGTTCAACTTTCGATGTGATTGCATTATGGGCGCTGACGTCTATGACGTAATTAATCTTGACCTAGCGCAATATAAGGTTAGTATGTTACAGTTGACGCGCTTACGTGTTACTAAAAGCATTGTGACTCTAGGGTCCTAGTATCGAGAACTAAATTTCCCTATGGAATTATATTTTTTCGCGGCAAGTCGCTTCTCTATTTGCTCGACATCATTTTCGCAGATCGTCTGGCTTGTAGCCAGGTTATGTGCCTGTGTGGGCGACGCGGTTTAATCGAAAATTTATGTTTAGCCGGAAAATTAGATTAAAACTTTTTGCCTCGTAGCCATATTCCTAGTTCGATTACCTCACGTGTTGCAATATTATTTCGTGGTAAAAATACGTTTCGTGTTATCGAGCTAATCGAATTGACCACTTCGATGACCGCTGACGAAAATTCTTCAAATCGATGAAGATATCAACAAGTAGCACGGCGTAAGGCTTCTTTCGCGTAAAATCTATATGGATAATTGTATATACCGTTGTCTAGACGCAATAAGGTTGCGTTCGAAGAAACGTCTCTGTTTCAAGGGAATCTTATTATTGGAATACAGTTACATAATTTTATACGACTCGCTTGCTACCACGCGAGCATAGATCGAATTGTTTCGTTAATCGATAACCGTTCCTTTCGACATTGCTGTACGTGTTTCCAGGCTGCTGTTCGTGTTTCCAACGGTTCGTCAATGTCATGCCGACATTGTACTCGTGACTGTGTTCCCCGCCCATGAATAAAGAATTAAACGCGTAACGATCGTTTGGAACGTTCGTTAATTGATCTGTATAAACAAGATGCTCGTTGGAGGTCAATGTCCTCCGATACCATACAATTTCTACGTTGCCAGTCTCGCAACGAAACATGGGAGGTACCAAGCTTTCAAGACTATGGGAGAGAATCCATTCTTTTTCACCTGCACGAAGTATAATATATCTTTAAACGCGGTATTATATTTTACGAAACGAGACAATTGTTTGTCGGTGTGTAAAACATTATTTCATCGTGCATTTTTCTGTATTCATCAGGACACGCCAGGATTAATCGCGCGGACTCGTTATCGTGGAGGAAGAATTATGGAGAACTGAAATAAATCGCGAGTTCTTGGATTCCACGGATTTTATTACTACGTCAACACTCGAGCGAAATAAAATATGGAGACATATTTTGATGTTTAAATTGGAAGCGATATATAACGCGACAGCGTCGTTCTAGAAAAATATCTCGTTTAAATATTTCAGCGGGAAGTTATATCACGGTGATATTTCAAGAATTCCCATTCGGAACCCGTGCTTAATATTTAATTATCGCAAAATATGTATATGCGTATGCGCAAGACTGTACCGTCCGCCTGATATTCGTTTGAAATAGAGAAAGATTGAATGAACGAAAGATGATATTATCCTTCTGAAGAATAACAAGAGGAAGTCCATTGAAAACCACCACATAATAGCGAACCACTACATAATAGTACATAATAGCTGCATTCGTCCAATCGACAAATTTCTCAGGTGCAGTTGCTACGACAAACACAATGGAAGCGAGGACAACGGTGTCTGGATCACTCTAGAATTAATTCAATGCAAGTGGAATCAAAGGGGAATGAAAACCAAGAAAACCTCGAGAGCCATAGAAGACATCATTAATTTCTTCATTTCGTACGAAATGCAAGATGCACAAACCTCGTTGCTCGAGCATCTTTTTCATTTGGCGAAACGCTGAGCTTGTTCTATCGCCTCTCGAGGGTGAAGTAGTTCCGAATTATATAGGCTAGACATTATTCGCGTCCCCGTGACTATAAGTTCCTCTGGCAGGCCGTGTCTATTTCACGGCGAGCCTGGATAAAGTGCACTCGCGCGTCATCCATGCGATTTTTGAAAAGTTCCTTCGTCCGGCGGTTGTGTAATTAAAATAGACCGTATCTCGAACAAAGCGGAATTTTTAACGAGTTATTTTTACGAGATAACTCCGGCTCCTCTACTTTCAACGGCATGGCGAACTTTCCTTTAATGCATTATTTCACGGTTCGAATGTATGAATTACGCGAAAGCGGATTCGACGATACGAAATACGCTGCTTCTTTATTTAACACAACGCAACAAAGAAATGACCGAGAATTAGGACGCTATGACATACGTAACGGATGTGTAATAGAGCGCGAATAAAACAAATTTAGGTTATGTTTGCATTCCTTTGTAACACTTCTTTCTACAGTGCCGAAATTCCGTGACAAATTTCTACCATTTTCTCGCGAACGTGTTTCTCCTTCTACATGTAATGTACGTAGTTCGTGGCGTGCGGTGGCGCCAGCAGCTATGCAACCCTCATTACACGATGCACTAATACGAGTGAAAGTATTTCACGGGAAGGCAGTTGCTTCGATTGTTTATCCTCATTAAACCGATTTCCATTATACCCCAGGTTCGTTATCGCTATTTCATAATACCACCTAACCTAACAATTTCCAGCTCCTCAAAAGTTTCTTTTCCCGCTATAATTCCAATCCTCTCTATCTGCAAACAATCTTAAACACACTCGATGTTCTCCGAACTATTTGATCGATAATCGTTAACATAATCACCTTCATCAAACAGCATCGTGTTATGTACTCCTAAGAAAGCCTAGTTGTTATCAAACAATTCCACGTAGAATTGCGTAACGACCAGTATCGTTTCTTCCTTAACCTCGTCTGTATTCTCCGCCCGGCACATCCACGACTTCCCTCAAAAGGAATGCGAACGAAAATGCAACACTAGCACAGCAATTCCTCGCGAGACATACATGTTTGACAACTCGCATGTTAACGGACCTCCCGCTCGCTGAAGATAGAGAAACGAGCAAGAAGGAGAAGGTAGGGCGTCGCGGGCAGCGGAGAGAGAAAGAGCGCGTGCAACGCGACAACGAATACAGCGTACAGTCGAGCAGAAAAGGAAGGGATGACCGCACGGAGTATCGTTAACCGGTACAAGAGTACGTTCTCCAGCGTGCAAAAGTGGCGAGGCAGTACGAGCTAGTATCGCGAACGGACTCGGTCGGCACGCAAGTCGGGTCCCGTGATCAACCATATGAATCGCTCGGCGGCGATCGTCTCGGGCGGGAAAAGTTTCATGGAACGGTTCAAAGAATTACGACGTCGGCACTGACATCGGATACGGACGGCCATTCTATTTCCGTGCGCGGCGTGACTAAAGGCTGTGAAAGAGAGTTCCACGCAAGAGGGATCCACGGTGGTTCGGCCCGTTAGTCGGCAGGAATCTAGGTGTAACAGAGAGAGGTACGTCGTGCTCGGCGGAGTTTCAGCCAACTCGTTACGAACGAGTTTGTGCACCGGCCAGAGAATTTCTAAGTCCCATGGAACTTCGCCGACGGAGTTTCGGGCAACAATGTTAATCGCGACGATGCGAGGTAACGTGACCGGGACACCGTGACCTGGGCCCACAGTGTCGCGCATTCGTCCTCGATGTTTTCTCGCTTGTCAGTGAAGTGGTACTCGCCGAGTGATCTCGTTCTGGCCCAGGTTATCCGGATCGGGTACAACGGGAGTTGATTTTCCTTCGTCGCAACTGGATCACTGGTATATCATTCCATCTCGCTG